GTCTGGGATTAAATCTCCTATTCCTTCCTCCCCGTTTTAGGCTGCAATTCTGTACTTTACTTCCCCATAATATCCTTCACATGTATGAACTGGGCAGCATGAATCTAAATGATTTCTATAAGGCAGCTCCTATGGCTTTTATTTATATTTTTTTTCATAGTGCTAGTATGATCAAAGAAAAAGTGGTTGATAAATCTGTATCCGAAGAAACAGGAGGATTCTATACCTGTGTCAAAGAAAAAACTAGTCTTTCCAACTGACTGGTGATATATTAGATATGCGTGGAAATGATTGTGGAAGCAAACTTGCTTGTTGTCCATTATGCACATTCCTTTTTATCTGACCTCTAATTCTGAAGATTTTGTGAATGATTATTTTTTTTTGTAGAAGGTGGAAGTTTTAATAGGTATATTAGAAGGCCAGCATTCCTTCAGGAAACTCTGCTCTTCCAGGAGAGCAATATTACCATGGCAAAAGAAAAGAAAAACAAGCTACATATACAAGATATCTGGTTTCTTAGTTGAAATGAGCAGACCTGTTCTATATCTACAGTATATCAGAAGAAGAAGGAAACATTTTAATACTGGTAGGACTAAAGCTTGAATTGGCAACCTTAAACACTCAAACCCTTTTTCCCATAGAAAAGAAAACACCGGAAGCCACAAAACCCTTCCCGTGCCTGACTATTTCCTGAGCAGCCACAAAACTGGACTATGTAGTTGAATTAAACATTGTTTTCTTCTGAAACTTTTCTTTTCTTGGATATACTCATGGTTGGCCTACTGGGAGTTGAAAAGCTCAATAAATCGCGTGCCAGCGGGTGTGACACATATTTTGAGTGACAGGGAGCCGCAACAGAGGGATGAAAGAGCCACATGCGGCTCCAGAGCCGCGGGTTACTGATTCCTGGACTAAAGACATCAGGCTGCTTCTGCAGCAGGCTGGCACAGAGAGGGAAGCAAGAAGCAAAAGATATCTCCCTTATCACGTTGGACTAAGCAGGATGCAATGATTAGTTCCATGCTTTAAAACTCTTATGCACTTAAGACTTTTTTTACATTCTATATGTTCTATAAACAATATGTTCCCTTTAACTCTTAAGTTGGTCAAGTACTTCCTATGAATCCATAGTAGTCTCCATTTTTTTCTCTCTCACTCAAATGGTGTATGATAGTATTGGGGATGTAGTATTGCCAGTATCTTATTTCTGAGAAGTTTTCAATTCTCTTGGCTTTCTTTGACCTGAGGATTTCGGTCCATGAGATCTCACAGTACTTCTCAAAATTTCTTGCCATTGGCTCTTCTGAAATCAAACGTGCATATACTGTGTGTATGACAATTACCCTAATTTCTCTATCTGCAGTAACTCAAACCACAAAGGGGTATATGGTCATGCTATCCCAAAAACCTCATTGCTTCAACTAGCCATTACTTAGTGAGGTACCTTTTTTTTTTAAACAAATTTTATTGATTTTCCAAAACAATACACAGACAAACAAAACATAAAATATAATGACATAAGAATTTTTTTTTCTAAAAAAACCAATACAACATCTTATTTAAAGACAGAATTATTCCAAGTTATCACATTTCCAAACAAACACAATTTGGTATATATATTTACCTTATCTGTTCATCTTCATATCTTATCCTGAACTTCTCTTTATTACTTCCTTTCCTTCTATTTATTCAAATTATATCTCTTTAACTTTAGATTGTATACATTTTTTATATCCATCTGTCTTATACATTTTCATTATTCTCTTCCAATACAAAAACAAACAAGACATAAAACATAAAAACCTAAAACATCTTTTCTGAAAGTTGCTTGATCCCGGGTTAAAACTCATCGTACAGACGCCCCTTCAAAAATCATGTTCCTTTTATATATCATTCCATATCTTATTACCGTTTTCCATTTTCTATATAGCTTCTTCCTTTTTTTAACTCTCTTAGTTTTATTCTACTTATCTTAGTTCAAGTTACAATACTTATCATTTTTTGTCTGTTCTCAACTATCCATTCATTTTTTCTCTTTAAACAAAACCTCTCCTGTACACTAATTGGAGTATGACGCCTTTAACTCTTTCCCCTAACCTAATAATACTTAATATCACACATAACTTGTATTGGGATTCTGTTTAGCACATCCTAAAGTCACACAATATATTATATAAAGAGAAAAAGAAAAAAGAAAGAATGACAATAACAAAGAGACAAATTTATAAATATATAATATAGCTAGTACCCCTGTCAAAACCATTTTAATCATACCTATTAATACTTATTTATATCTTAAACATTTTATTCTATAAATGCCTATAATAACACAATCTTATGTACCTTACAGAATCCCTTTTTCAATTAAATTTACCCATTGTCTCTAAATAAATTTTGTTTCTTTAAATCTTGCTTCCCATCGTTGAGACTTCTCACCCCTTCCTTTCTCCCTTGCTTATTCTTTTCCTTACCCTTTTTACCCCTTTGTCTCTCCACCTCCCTTTTCTTCTTCTGCTTTCCCCCTTCCTGTTGTTTTCTAACCTTATATCCACCCTTCAACTCATTTTTATCTTTTTTGGGGGTTTTTTAGGTTTTAAAATCCCTTTTTCCTTTTCCTCTTCCTTCTTCTCCCCCAATAGAATCACATGTTCATCAAAAATAGTTTCTTCTTTGTCCCAATTATCCTGCTGCGCAATCAATTCTCCATAGGAATGCACCGCCATTTCTAGAGATTGAAAAAGAATATCCAAAGTATCTTTCCAGTCTTGTTCTTCCTTTTTATATTTTAGGTATTCAGTTTTAGATTCATCCAAGGGTGATGCCATTATAAAGAGGAAAAGATTTTCCCAAAACAACCACCTGAGTGTTTTTAAACAAAGAAAAAAAGTTTCCCAAAAGATGCAAAGTCACCAAACAATCCAGATAGACTATTTCATTTAGCACTTTTTCCCTTCTTCCATTTCTTTTTCTGGGGTTGCTATTAAATCACAAATTCCAATTAAAATATGTCTTTTTGAAGTCTTATTAATGTTCAAATGGCTCTTTAAAATTCTAGGCAGTCTGCTCCTTATTTTCAACTTCTACTTCTATTTTTTTCCTCTCCCTTCCCACTCACAGCAAAAGAAAAAATTTTCTTTAAATATTTAGAAATCCATATCCCTTTGGCATTAGCATAGTCTTTAGCATTTAGCATACCTTCAATGCGGGTTTCCGATTTCTCTCAAAGCTGTTCCGTTTGGAAGGAGAGTGAAAAGAAAAAAAGTTTTCCCTTTGATATCCATTCGCTGCTTACTCAGTCTGGGAACAATGTGTCTTTAGTAGGTGTTAAATACCAGGATACTTTCACTGTTCCTTTGTCCCGGTCTGCAAAATTACTTTCATTTCTTCACAAACTCCTCCAGCACTTTCTTTTTCCGGCTGAGCTCTTCTATGTGGCAGCCATTAGAGACCACCGCTCAGCTGCCATCGGAGAGGGAGATTTAGCCAGCTAGGGAAGAGAAATGTGATGTCTCTCGTCCCTGCCAGAACCCCCCAGTCTTCACCACCTTCTACAAAGGTGGCCTAGCCCCGAAGCCAAATGGCTCGGGGCACTCAGGCAGTGAACACAGGCAGAGACCGTGCACAGTCACGGATTCCTGCCTGCACCGAAGCACCACAAGCTGGAAGTGTCAGTAAGGTACCTTTTTTTAATTCAATAGTAACAATGTTAGATCAGACGGAAAAACAATAGCATTTTTTGAGATCGTATCTTCCAGAGATAGTTGCGCTTTCTTATTTTTAAATTGAGCTATCAAGTCTAGACAGCAAAACTCCAGACAGCCACATAATATGATAACCAAGAGTGTTTATTGTATCACTTCGCTGCCCATCTACTGGTTGTATAGATCTGTGGAGCTCAGAGCTAGTAGTTGTAGGCTAAAGTACTCTGCACACGCTAAGACTAAAGTCAACCTTTGCTATTACTTCGTAAGTTCCTGAACTGGCCTTGAGTATAACCTTCCCCTCCTACTTATTTTTTGCTTATGATTGCAAACATCGGTGCAATTGCAAGAGGCCAGCAAAGAGTTAAGATGCTTGTATTTTGGCTGCCATCTTGCATTGCCAGGATGCTTGCAGTCCAAATCTGTTAGTTACAGTTAGCTCCAGTCCCAGTCCAGATCTGTTAGCCTCAGAATGCAGAAGAGGCTGAAAACAGAAACCCTAAACTTGTAAGTGTAGGGCTGAGACTTTGGAAAAAGTGCAAAGAAGAGCAACTAACATGATTAAGAACCTGGAGACAAAAACATACCAAGAATGGTTGTGGGAATGGCCAGTCTAGAGAAAATAAGGAGTAAGGGTGGGTGTGTGGCTGACACGATGGCAGTGTTCCAGTATTTGAGGGCCTGCCACAAAGAAGAGGGGTTCAACTTATTTTACAAAGCACCAGAAGGCAAGATATGAAACAATGGATGGAAATTAATCAAGGGGAGAAGCAACCTGGAATTGAGGAGAAACTTCCTGATAGCAAGCATAATTAACCAGTGGAACAGCTTGCCTTCAGAATTTGTAGGTGCTTCATCACTGATGGTTTTTAAGAAGAGAGTGGATAACCATTTGTCTCAAATGGTGTAGCGTTTCCTGCTTGAGCAGGGGGTTAGACTAGAAGACCTCCAAGGTCCCTTCCAGCTCTATTCTGATTGTGATTGTGTAATCATTGAACTTGGAAGAACTGCCTACTGAGCAGATGGCCAGTGATGGCAGCAATAATCTGCCCTGCAAGGCAGGCCAAACTGACAAATGCTTTCAGCAAATGATGGCAGTAAATAAGTCATAAATAAGTGAATCAATAAACTGGGGTGCAAAGGTTAAACTATTGTCTCGGTTCACAGTAATTTGCAACATTATTTCCTCCTTGAACAGTGAAAGGAAGATGCATTGTGACAACACAGGAAGAAAAGTGGATGGACTGTTTTCCCGTAATTCTTGGATTTGTCTCTCGTCTGCTTGATGTCTTTTCTCAGGCCGTTTTGTTTTTGTGTGCTTTTCTTCTTGCTATCAGTAACACAGGTTGAGACACAGAGCCCAGGTAAGTTGCTAAGGATGGGAAAAGCTTTCTCTATAGGATCAAATGTTTTAATATGGTGACTGGGAATTGCTTACATTAAGGTATTCCAGCACACACAGAAAATAAGTGAGACAATGTGCAGATCTGGATGTGATATATAACAAGCACAAACATATTCACACATGCACACATCTGGACTTACTTAAAAGAAATGCCAATCATGTTCACAAGAGTTTACTGTCTTGAAAGATAGCATAAAGACAGTACTTGGTCAAGGGAAGAATATATGTGTGTGTGTCTATGTGTTTCTAATATCGTAAATATTTTACCAGACATGTTAACTGGTTAGGTTAATAGTTTAAACTTTAATAAAAGTTTTAAAGAGTCTAGACAAACATTTTAAAACACCTCAGTTTCAAAGGTGACTATGTTTCATGTTTACTTAACGAGTTATGAAAACGATTCATTTAATATAATTACATGAAAAAGATGAAAGAACGTCCACACTGGTTATTTTCTTAGATTTAGATTATCCACGTTGCAAGCTAGTAGATGATTTCAGAAGGAAGTTGACAAGCTAATTGTCCTCTGTGTTATGCCTTGACATGTATGTACTTGGATATCATGTTGGATAAAATGATTATTAGACAACTATTTTATCAGCTTTCCCATTGCAGTGAGATTTGGCATAAACTCATCACAAATGATATACTGGAATGGAACAAAATTAGGGCTTCCAGAGCAAGGCTCTAAAATCCACTAGATATAACATTACTTTTGCTGCCATCTAATCACCCTAATAAAATAGTAGCTATATTCAATGTGAATTCTTATGACTCTATTAAATTAATGCTTCTGCCGACATAATCTATTTTCTTCTGTTTTATCAGAATGTTCAGTAGATAAAACTTCGGTGATCATAATGGAGAATAATGATCCAGGGTTGGTGGTGACTAACATTTATGCTAATCCTGGCATTACAGTCACAATTGAACCTTCTACAGATGCAAATTCTCCCTCTGAATGGTTTGAAATAAAGGACTCACAGCTCATCCTGAAAATATCTGTGGATTATGAGGTAATAGAATTGGGGGGCGGGGGACAGAAAGCCTTAAATCCAGCAGGAAATGGGTGTTCTCCATGCCTTCTCCAGATCCACTGGATCTTTAATCCCCCAGTGGGATCTGTAGTCCAATTTTTATAGGGTTGCAAGCTTGGGGAAGGCTGGCCTAGGATTCGCTGGTCAGCTAATCCGATGATGGGATTGGGGTGTATGTGTATAAAGACTGTGTAAAATGCAAGTGAATTGACGCAAGGGACATACAATAAAACTATTCAATAGTAAGATGTAAGTAATATATAGGTATTAGTAAGTACAATATAGCACGTGCTTTGTGCTTATCGGTTGTCCCAAAGTTATTTCTTCCTAGCCAAAGATTGTAGATAAGTATCAATGTATCCTGATAAAGTTAATGGAAAACTCCCAGTGTTCCCTCTATAAGAATTCTCATATGTGACTCATATGTAAGGCAATCCTTCCCAATTGAGGTGATCCCCATATTGCAAAGCAGGGGCAATGTGGGATAATCTAATACCAGGATGATTAAAAATCTAGAGAAGCTCCATTTTCACAGCATGCCATGCCAAATTTGGTTAAGGTTAATTTTGGTTGAGCTTTTGTGGCTCCAACCCATCCATCACTTTTTGTGAGCTCAGAAGATGAATTAATTCAGTAAATGGTTTTAGTGTGCTCTACGAACACAACCTATCACGGGAAAGGAGCCAATACGGGTAGTCCTCAACTTACAACAGTTCATTTAGTGACCGTTTAAAGTTTCAATGGCAGTAAAAAAAGTGACCTGTTATGACCATTTTTTACCCTTACAACCATTGCAGCATCCCCATTGTCACATGATCAAAATCCAGATGCTTGGCAACTGGTTCATACTTAGGATGGTTGCAATGTCCCAGGTTCATGTGATACCCTTTGTTTTGACCCAAACCTTGTTCCAAGGAAACAAACACGAAACAGAGGTAACGGCAAAACCTTTTAATGATTCTTTATGAATTCCGTTCCTTCATGGTTAAAAGGCTGCTTCAAACTAACTGTCTCTGATAAGAACGAGCCTTGCCAAGGTTGTGCAAGGCTGCCAAGAACACTAGATAAAGTTACCAAGCAATATTTCAAACACAAAGAGTCTCCAAACACCAACCAAGATATTTCAAACGTCCACAAGGCTTGAGTGCAAACACTTCTTTGCTTCCTGCAAAGAACTCCAGTTTCTCAGCTGGCTTTTATCTTTTAAGGGAGATAAAATTACCTTGCAGCCTTACTCCTGAGTCATCCCTTCTTCTGCAGCTGCTTTTTCCTTCAAGCAGCCCTGCATGCATGCGCACTTGGCACAGGCTCCTTGGGGACCTCTTCACCACTGCTGCCAGCCCCCACAATCTCTGAAGGTAGCATTCCACTCCCTGATGGTCCTCGCCCCATCCCTGTATCACACGCAGGCCCCTCATCTGAGTCCTTGCTCTCCGAGACCTCAGCCATCTGCATCTGCTGCCGAGCGAACCACAACACCCTTCTGCAACCTTCTGACGAGCAAAGTCAATGCTAGATTCACTTAACAACCACATTACTAATTTAACAACCACAGTGATTCACTTAACAGCTGTAGCAAGAAAGGTTGCAAAATGGGGCAAATTCACTTAACAACTGTCCCATTTACTAACAGAAATGTTGGGCTCAACTGTGGTTGTAAGTCGAGGACTGCCTGTTCTTCAAGTGGAAGATCTCAAAGGTGCTCTGGTTCTCCTTGCTGTCTGAGTCCAGTGAAAACCACTTTGCATACCAAAAGTATCCCATGTGCTTGTTAGGGGTGTGTAAGTCCACTGAATTTCCCTAGAAGCATCCTGTATGAAAATTTGAAACTAAGCAGCATGGAAGCTCTTCATCCTCTCTCGGAGTTAAACATTATCCACCCTTGATATTGTAAGTCACAAGGCTGCTTATTTTTGTACTAGTTCAACCTCTGAGCAGCTGTTTTCAGTGCTCCAATGTGCTAGGCGGGCCCAGTGGAAATCTTTTTCCCTTTTGTCGAGAGGCCCTGCTTTCCACTCTTGAAGGTTTCAAACAGCGGGACAGAATAAGAACAGAGATTCAGAGACCCGGAAACCTGGAGTAATTGCTAGGTGGACTGTACTCTTCTGTTAAAGAGTATAACTCTTTAAAGAACAGTAATATAGAAACCGAAGATATTTTCCTCTGTGCAATACCATTAGAGTACATTTTTTTGTTTCATTTACTGTTAAAAGGGGAATTCAAATTAAACTTAGAAAAAGAAATAGGGAGAAAGAATAAAAAGTACAAAGAAAAAAAGAAAAAAGTAAGGAAAAGGAAAAGAAAAGAAACATGTAAAAATTCTTCCAATCTTCATCATAACAAGTAAAAACACATTTGATAACTCTTCACCCCCAGAAGACTGCAAACAAATATCACTTCTTCCCACAACCCATTCCTTCTATATGCAAAACCATAAATCACAAACTTTTCAGTCCTGCTGTCAGCGAAAAGTCTATAAAGGACTACCAGAGATTTATAGATTATGTTTTATTTTAACATTCAACTTTATATTCTTTTACTTCTATCCATCTTGATTTTTAATAAATTCAGGTGTTGCTGTGAGATTTGACCTCTTTTCAATTTTTCTTTTTCCCATCACATAGCCTTCTTCAAAGTTTTAGTAAACTTCCTTTGTGAATGCTGTAAAAAATTATCCAGATTGTTGTCTTGGTTTATCATTTGTTTTCCCCCGTTGATTTTCGAAGCTTTAACCAGCCTTTTTAAAAAAAAATCTAATAAAAAGTCCTTATTGGCTTGCCATCTGTAATTCCATTTTAATTGCCTTCTCTAACTTGTAATTCACTTTTTTTTTTTTGTATTTCCCCCTGGATTTTCAAAACTTTAACAAACTTATTTTGTAGATCCAATAAAAGATCCTTATCAGAGTTATGGTCTTCATTTATTATTTGCAATTCCCCTTTAACTGCCTTCCCTATCTTCTTTCCAAATAATTTTAATAAATATTTTGTATAAAGCTATAAAAGATAACATAGACTAAAAAAGAGAACAAAAGCAAATACAAAAAAATGAAATATATAAAGAAAATGTCTATCCTCCCTCCTCCCCACAAGAAAAAGACTTCCTATTCCCTTTGTGGCAGGGTACATAAACAAATCTATATTCTCTTCACCTCCCCTTAGCTAACCAATATAAACTCTTCATCCCATAAACCAGGGATGTCAAACTGGATTTCTTCGAGTGCCAGATTAGCATTGTAGTCCCCCCCACCCCCCCACCCCGTGGGCCAGCAGTGGGAGAGACAGCACTTTGCTGGCCAAAACGGGGCACAGGGAGGTCCTGTGTGGCCTGTTTTGGCGTCCCCGGCTTTGTGAGGCCCCTGCATCGAAGGTGGTATTCAGCAGGCTCTGACCAGTTCTGGAGAACCGATAGAGGAAATTTTGAGTAGTTTGGTGAACCGGCAAATCCCACCTCTGACTGGAGGTTTTACAGTCTCCTTCCCCTGCCATGCCCACCAAGCCATTCCCACAGAACCGGTAGTAAAAAAATTGAATCCCACCACTGCCCTGCATCGCCCGTGTTTGGCCACCCTGGCCTCCAGCAGCACCCCCCCAGCCAAAAACAGGCCTCCCTGGATATAGTATAGCCATAAAAGCATACATCATTGCTGACAATTCTGATTTTATAACTACTAAAGTTTGGCCCCATTCTTCAAAAATCTCTTCAAGTGTTTCTAATGTTATGGAATCTTGTGTCATTTTCTAAATCCCCACACTAATAAAAAAAATTGAAAGCATTTATGAGCATGAACCATGGTGGCACAGTGATTAGAATGCAGTATTGAAGGCTAACTCTACCCACAGCCAGGAGTTTGATTCTGACCGACTTGAGATTGACTTGGCCTTCTATCCTCCCAGGGTCAGTAAAATGAGGATCCAGATTGTTGGGGGAAATACACTGACAGAGAAAGCAGTAAATCACTGTGGAGTAGTATATAAGTCGAAGTGCTATTGCTATTTATACATTTTTTTTCTTTCCTTTTCCTTTGCTGCCTAGACATTTTAGTCCTCATCAATGTCCAATTTCTGAAATATAATATTTCAATAAATAGTAAATAAATTTTATATTTATTTATTTGTTTGTTTTATTTTATTTGTCAATTGCTTACAAGATAATAGGTATAAGTATAAACATAGTTATGGATACATGAAATGGATACATATAAGAAAAATAAAAAGAAACAACAGGACAGGGATGGTAGGCATGTTGGTGTGCTTATACACGCCCCCTCAGACCTCTTAGGAAAGGGGTGAGGTCAAGAGTAGACAGTCTAAGGTTAAAGTTTTGGGGGTTTGAGGAAGAAACCACAGAATCAGGTAGAGTATTCCAGATGTTGACCACTCTGTTGCTGAAGTTGTATTTCCTGCAATCAAGTTTGGTGCGGTTAACCTTGAGTTTGTATCTATTGTGTGCTCTTGTATTGTTATGGTTGAAGCTGAAGTATTCATTGATAGGTAGGGCATTGCAATGTATGATTTTATATACTATACTTAGATCGGACCGAAGCCGGCGTAGTTCTAGGTTTTCTAGGTCTAGAATTTCAAGTCTGGTGGCATAAGGTATTCTGCAATGAGCCGAGGAGTGGAGAACTCTTCTTGTGAAATATTTCTGGACTTTCTCAACTGTGTTAATATCAGATACGTAATGTGGGTTCCAGACTGATGAGCTGTATTCGAGTATTGGTCTAGCAAATGTTTTGTATGCTCTAATTATTAGTGTGATATTACCAGAGAAAAAGCTACGTAGGATTAGGTTAACAACTCTTAATGCCTTTTTGGCTATGTAGTTACAGTGGGCTCTAGCACTTAGATCATTAGAGATGAGTACTCCAAGGTCCTTGACAGAGTTTGGAATATCAACAAGGTCTTGACTATTCAGCTTGTATTTTATTTTCTGGTGTGTTTTTTTGCCAATATGTAAGGCAGAGCATTTATTTGCTGAGATTTGAAGCTGCCATGTGTTTGACCATTCTGATACATAATCGAGGTCTTTTTGAAGGGTAGCAATATTTTCTGTGGTGTTGAATAGCTTTACATCATCAGCAAAGAGAACACAATTGCTCTTAATATGATTATAGAGGTTCTGTATTCTATTCTGGTTCCTAATGAAACACCGATTATTTCATTTTATTATTTGCAAACTTTTATAGTAAAAGTCTCAAAATTTCAAAATTGTATGAACCCTTACATCAAAAACATATTTAGTTTTTTGACATTTATTTCCAATTCTTTAAATTCTTAAACTTATAGTTATTTTTTCTTTTATTAAAGAAGGAAAGTAGCTCTCCAGATAGCTTTTCAAAATCGTTGTTCCAAAGATCTATAATAGAGTATTGAATAAGCCATTTTTGATTAGAAAGTGAGGCTAGTGGACTCAACGTCCTTTGAAGGGTTCTGCTGCAATTGAGAGCAAAGCTAGCCCCTTCATTTCCTGGTTCTCAAACTCACAGGTGAACGCTGTCAGCATCCTCATAAGAAGCAACTCTCCAGAACATATGTGGGTGATATCTCATCCTCTTCTTATCCAGAGAAGTTCTGAAGAGTTAATCTATTTACTGCAATTTTTGCTGCAGCCATCATCTTTCCTCTATCAGAGATATGTTTAAGTTGCCATACCTCTGTTGGAAATCCACTTGTTTTCCATAGAATAAGACTACAGTTAAAACAACTGAGGTAAAATACAGTTTTTCAAAGCCCCAACTGAAATGAATTATATTTTAACCAGCTAAAAGTCTAATTTTAAATATGGAAGGATTGCTGTTTGTTGATTCTTTAAAAATGGCTGAAGGTACAGCAAGCTAACAGTGGAGCTTCTGTAGTGTATATTTCTCCCTTATGTCCAGATCTTTGAATGTAGAATGATTGTTTTCCCTTATTGCCTATCACACACATAATGGACACAAATACATATACAAATGCTTGTAAAAATAATACTTTGGAAGCTGCTAGTTTGAATGGAAGAGTAGAAATGGGCTTCTTATCCTTTAATCGCTTTAATCTCAAATGCTCAACTCAGGATCACCTGCGAATGAATCATCTCCTCTCTGAAATATCCAGATGCATGTTAAATTATTAAGCAACCTCAGCACTTCTTTTGCACTGAAAAAGCAGCCAGTTTCCCCTAGGAGATAGGTTTTATATTTATCTTCACAAAAACTAGGGGGGAGAGAGAGATCAAAAACTGCTGGATTTTATGTATCTTTTACAAAACAGGGTGGGAGATATTTTCCCAAGATCAAGGCCAGCATTTTCCCATTAAAAGCTGTTTGGGGGTCAGATGACAGAAAGATATTCAGTGCTGAACAAAATGCATGTCATACCAGCTCTCAGAGACCTCCATTTGACTTCAAGGGGTGAATAGATTTTGGGAATATCAGAGGCGAGGCTCTTTAGAGTGCCAGGATACTGGATATTAGCAAGCATTTTCTCTCACTCAGACTATGTTGCTTTTATTTAATCTGAGCCCTGGTAAAATGGCTTTGTAGATATAAAGAATAATGATTCCATCGCAAGGCCCAGGAGAACCAACCTTTGCTAGGAATTATATGTGTAATAATAGTTGTGCTACAAAGGATTGCTTTAAATTAAAATATTTATTTTTAATGCAGAAGGTAACGGTCCTTTCGCTGAACTTGATATGCTGGGAAGCAGATTTGCAAGTGAGTAATATTTCAAATTTCCCTTTGTATTATTAGTCCTGCCAAAGTATAATATATTGGAAGAAACATCTTTGCAAGGTTGACAGTGGTCCTATAGAACAACCTTCTTCATTTTAATTCCTGGTAGGCTGGACTTCAGCTCCTCTAGTCCCTGAGCCAGGATAGATGACCCACAATTTCCAACAGCTATATTGGCTGAGAGGATTATGGGAGTTGAAGTCTAGCACATACAAAAGACAAATTGAAGAAGATTTTGTATCAAGAATTATGTATACAGCAAAACAGATCTTACTGTGTCAAGAAGTCTATTATACATTTATTTTCTGTGAAGTTCATCTATGCTTTATATTATTGGCATTGGGATGGTAAAATTTTCTACAGCATTAATGCTGCCAACAAAGAAAGGATCCTCCTCCAGTTTTCTGAAGAATTAGAAATTGTTCAAGAGCCATAACTGATCTAGATGGACTAAGAGTTTGACTCGGATCAGCCCTGACTCCATCTAGTAACAGAAGTGTTCTGAGTTTCAAGCAGAGGTTTTCTTTAGCCCTAAATGGACAGTGAAACAAAGCATTTCTTGTACCACCAAAGCATGGTCCTTTTTTATAGAATTGCTCGTTTCTTAGTCCCCTTTTTTTTTAGAAAGGCGGTGTGGGGGGGGGATGGATTGTGAGGGAACTGAATATGCAAGAAGTGTAGAGAAATGATAGTTTGGAGAAATAATGGATGTTTGCCTGTGTGAGTTCCTTTCCCTAACATCTCTCTGCTGGAGTCTTTGTCAAAAGAATGTGAATATAGATGTTAAACCAGAATTCAGAGCAGCAAAGAAAAGGGGCAAATAGAGTGTATGATGATTAAATCGCCATCTTCAAGCTTTTGAATGAAAAGTGTATATTAGAATGAGAGGCTGTGCCTCTTTTCAGTCACAAAATACCCTTTTCAGAGGCACATCTGGCTAAAGTAATTTTGACTCAATTTAATAGGAATAATTACCAAATAACTCCAAAAGAGAGTTTATTCTGATTGTGAAAGAGGGGAGTGCTGGTAACAGGGATTCAGTCACGACCACAGCAGGGGCAGAGGCAAACTTTTGAAGAAACGGGGAGGGGAAAGGCTAACCAGTCTTTATTTTTGGTGTTTTTGAGCTTGAAATCCACTGATAACCTTCTTCTGTTTTATTTGCCCCTAGGTAAAAGTTATCACTGTTTACATTCACATTAGCAATGAAAACGATAATGAACCTGTGTTCAAGCAAACTAACATCACCGTTGATATTCCTGAGGTAAACCATTGTATTCATACGTCCCCTGAGGATGTAGTAATAAGGACATAATTATAGTTCCGATGAGCCAATGACATTAAGAGATTGATAATTTTGTACAAGCAATAAATACATGTATCTGTGAACTAATGTAAGGAAAGGTGCAAAATTCCATCACAAAGTTACACTCACCAAATGTGTAAAGCTTTTTTTTTCTGCCAAGAAGATTATCGAATATGCTTTGCTGCTAGGTATTGCAGCATCACAGCAAATTAGGGCAATAATTGCGGGGGTGGGGGGGGATTCAAAATACCATATACATTTATATCCCATATCTTCATCAGTTAATTAGTTATAACACAATTCAAATTTCAAGGCAGCTGGGATTCTTTCCAAGGACTTTATGCATCTCTTTATTTTAATATGCCTACTTTCTTTTATTTAGCAGCATTTCCAAAAGAATAATGTCACAACATTATATGCTGTTATTTGTAAAATAACAAATATAATGATAAATTTGATGTCTGTGTAAAATATCAGGTTCCATCCTTTTTATACCCTGACTTACAGTCATAAGAAGCAGTCCTCAACTTACAATCATTCATTTAACAATGGTTCAAAACATTGCAATGGCCTCAGCAAAAGTGGTTTATATCCTCACACTTATAACCATTGCATCACTTCCACAGTCACGTGATCGCAATTTGGGCACTTGCCAAATAGCTTGCCCTTATGACTGGTTGCTACGTTCTGGGGTCCTGTGATTGCAGTTTATGACTTTCCCAAACAGTGTCTGACAAAAGAGTCAATTGGAAAACTGGATTTGTTTACTGACCATGTGATTCACTTAATCAGCATGGTAAAAATGGTCATAAAATCTGGTCTAGTTATATGGTGATTCAACTTATGATTGCACTGACCATATAATGAAAATCTGAATGCCAACTGTGGCCATAAAACAAGGACTATTTCAGAAAGTGATATCCAAATTATTCTGAGTTTAAATGCCCTTCCTTCCTTCCTTCCTTCCTTCCTTCCTTCCTTCCTTCCTTCCTTCCTTCCTTCCTTCCTTCCTTCCTTCCTT